GAGAAAAAAATTGTTTGTAAAAAGATATTTATTGTAGCATTACCTATAATACTAAAACTTTGGAAATAAATTAAATTTATAATGCTAAATAATAATTAAGAATGAAAATTTTATATTAATTCTACATAATATTATACAGCTGTTCATAATATATGTACATTCTCCTTAGAGATCTGAATAAAATTAATGATCTCTTAGATAAGACAGTTTGCAAGAATTTACCTGTTCTGTTTACAGCTATTGAAGAATTAACATGAAATATGAAAATGAACAGGAAAGAAAAAACCAAAATGAAAATAGTGTGTTAGGAGAGCGGAATAGTTTTATTCCTAATTTTTGAAAATTTATTTTAAAAATATTTCATAATATTTTAAAATGAACACCCCAAAGAATTGTTCTATATGTGGTTAAAATCTAAAATGGCATCTGGCAAGGAGCGAATCAAGAAAGCTTTACTACTTTTAGAAATCAAGTAATCTTAGAGAAATAAATAGTTCTGTTTCTCGGTGTTTTATCTCCCTTGTTTTCTATTGTGAGAGGCATTTACAAGTATATTGAATTTCTCTTGCTTATGAATTCAACTGCTGCTGCTTTTTCACAAACAGCCTTAATCCTTTGTTCGGCTGTCATAGTTGCTACCACAGGAATTATGATGCTGCCAGCAGAGAATTCAAGAGCTAAAATGAAGAGGTTTTTAAAATGCCAGTACACACTTTCCCCCTTTTCTTTCGATTGAAAAAATATATATTTAAATAGCTGTATATAAACTATATATTATGTGTTATATATATATTATATAAATATGTATTATATATAAACACATCTATTTATTTATATAAAAGACATATATATAAAATCCATTAAAATCTAATCTTGTTCAGGGCAGGGACCATAAAGTTTATTTATTCTGAAAACATAGTCTCCATGCTATATTAATTATTGTAAAATAAAATAAATATATTCATTAATATATTTGCTAGCAATGAAAAAAATATGCTGGCTTTCTTGGGGATAGATCCCACAGTTTTACTCATGCCCATGCCAGGATTTTCTTTTCTTTTTCTTTCAAATTCTTTGACTCTAATTTTCAATCACTCAGGATAGTGTCCCAGTCCATGTCAGGTAGAGGAGCTGGGAGTTTTTATTGGCTACTTTGACTAATATTATAACATTACTGTTATTTTAGTATGATTGAATGAAGAAAACAATGAGTAAAATTATTCATGATTGACTTTAAAATCAGAGAAAATAACTGTATGCGTAAATGATAGAGCTTTATTGAGGTTTAAAGTCACAAGGAAGATGCTCGCTTGCTAGAGATGCAGGAGCGGTGGGCGGTAGACCACACGGGACCCTCCAGGGCACCTTCCAGGGTAGCCCACTGCTACCAAGTTAAACGTATAATTCCAAAACTGTTTTCCTTAAGAATCTAAAGAAAATTATTTGAAAATCCCTGTAGAGATAGAAAGGAAAAACACCCAGGAAGCAATGATTGTGTATTATTCTACTCAAAGCTAACTCTACACGAAAATGACCTTAGTCCTTTGCAGATAGAAACAGGACGGGATCAAACACAGTCAGACTTTGCCTGGAGGGGAGGGATTTCTCGCTGACGGTCACCTGGGTTTTGATTAGGTGAAGTGTGATAATGCAAACTATTGCCTCCTAGTTCCTGCGGAGGTTGTGCCAATGACGATTTCACCGAGGCAGTTCAGAGGGAGCAGCTCCACACATGCGTAGACGCACATGCACGCGTGCATGCAAATGCTGTTCATTCCATTTGCCAAACTAATGTTTGGTGTATGTTACTTCCCTTACCTCCAAGGTTACCGACATAATCTAACACCAAAATCAACGTTGCTATTTTGATATTTTTTTTCGAAATTAACGATGGAATTTCTAAATGAATACAGGGGAGTCTGAAGACATTAATCTGTTGAATTTCAAGGTCCTGAAATTTTAAAACTCAGAAGAGAAGGCTAAGGTTCTGTTTTGAGGTGCACCTGATGCGAAAGAATTTGTAAGGCACAGGGGGTCTGCCTCCTCCGACCCCCTCCCGTACAGTCCTCGAGCCATAACACACCGTTAGAGGCCAAGGCAGTGTCCCTGGCAGCTCTGTCGTTCCACAGGACACAGATGTGGTCCTGTGCAGTAAGTCTGTGAGGGAGGCAGGGGGGCCCAGGCTTATCGCGTACCTCTTTCTTATAAACAGAGTTGATTTTTAAATGAATCAGAACCTTAATTTCCAGAAAGATAATCACAGGCACGGAAAGGAAGTTTATCTTCAAGTGCAGGAAACAGCCCGCGGGTCTAATTTTAGGACTGTGACTATCAGCAGCATCCTTTAAATACTGCAGAATGCTGCTGCTTCCAGGGCCTCTTCAGGATCTGTTTGAATTCACTGGGATCAAAGGAGCCCTCCGGTTCCCTTGGAGTGAGGCGAATGCTGCCAGCAGTCCCCTTTTAGCTGCTTCGTTGTGTTCTCTACGCCCCGTAGGTCCTTTCTACACCCTCCACACTCTGGGCCAAACACAACACGGCGGTCACAATCGGGCACTGGTTAATTTCCTTCTCTCACCATCTTGCTTCATTTAAGCTGAACTTTTCATGCTGCTAAAATTTCATTAGAAAATGACAGGCTCCCTGGGATTAGAAAACTTACCTGATAACAGACACCTATGTTGAAAGGAGTCTGGGTAAGATCTTCCTCATTAAAAGTAAAAGGAGGACGCTCCAGCCACGCCACTAGCTGGATTCAGAGCGCACAGACAGTCCACCTCGATTTGCTGGAAAAACCTTTTCTTGTTGGGGTAGCCTGTGGAACTGGGGCAGAGACAGACCTCAGGGGGCTCTGATTTTAAGACACTCAGAATAATTATCGACTCCGTTTTCAGAGTGCCCATTACATGTAAAGCATTTAACATGCACCAATGCCAGTATCCCCACGGGGGATATATGTGTATGCTTTTCATTGCAGGGTGCATATTACCATTGAGGACACGTAGATTCAGAGAGGTCCAGAAGCTTGCCCAGGGTCACCAAGCAGGTGAGTCGCAGAGCTGGGATTTAAACCTGGGTCCCATGGCTTTGTCCTTTCCGTTTCTTTGACATGCCACAGACACATTAGTTCTGTGTGACTACAATCCATTAAGGATACCTGTTTGGCCTCAAGAATTCCATGCTGTTTCAGACCTCAACAACTGGAGTAGTGTTATTACTAAACCAGCCAGGCTGCGAGGATTCAAATCTTCACGTCTATTTGGTACGTGGCTGCCGGCTGGCTGTGTGATCTGGGGCTGTCACTGCTCTGAGGTTAGGTTTCTTGAGCTGTAAAATGAGGGTAATACTAAAATTTTCCTCGTAGGATCGATCATTTTGAGAATTAAATGAGAAATTCTTGCAGAGTACTCTTGAGGACTCCATACAAGGTAACTATTGTTATTACCAAAACTGCTTATAAATGCTTCTGTCTTCCCTGTGCTCTGTATATAAGTGAAAGAAAAATAAAATGATTGGGGAAAATTTTTGGAACAAATTAACGTGTGACTTGCTGGAAACCTCGAATAATAATAATACAAATAAATAAAGAAG